CAATGGCAGTTATCTTTCCTTTCATTGCACACTTACTTTGGTTCTACACCAAGCTTCTTCAGCATGTGCCAAAGTTTAGCTGGATGGAAACAAAATAATACCAAACAATATTATGTAAGTCTGATCATTCCATAAGCTGTATGCTGCGTGTACTGTACCAGGGAGTTCAACAGACATGCAGCTAACAACCATTGATTCAGAAATGATTCATTAGGACACACTTATTTATAATGCTGGCCGAGCAATACATATATGTACAACTATGGCACAACTCAGATTAATGAGCCAAATTACCACTCAGAAATACTTATGATAGTGATGGATATAGACCCATGCAGTGCCTCAAATTAACTGTACCTCAGATATAATATACTTACATTCAGTGAGCACATGATCAGACATAAAAATCATGCCTAACACAACCATCAACAGACCCATCTTGGGAAGATCGTCACCCCTGAAACACAATTAATGCAAGAAAAGGTACTGTTGGTGAAGACAAGTGAAGATATGACTCTCACTGGAAGGTCTTCTATGAAACAGTTAATAAAGAAAATCTTTTTCCTAGGAGAAATTAAAAATTTAACTTCTCTGACAATTAACACATCATGGGTGGTGAGAATTATAACCCTTTCACTGCCAAGATTTTATTATTATAATTTTCCTTGCTATCTCCCGTACAATAATGTTAGTTCTGAGAATTTGAAAAAGAATCAACTTATGATTCCCTAACTGATATAAATTTTCTTTATTCTCTTTACTTGTCTGCTTGATATATGTGTTATTATAACCAAGCATGTGGTCAAGATAGCTGGATAATAGGCCATTTTACAGTTGTGTACTTAGTTGCCAAGTCTTTGATTCAGAGTGAGGCTAAAGATGACCTTGTTGTGATAGAGACCTGTATCTAGTTAGCATGATAACAATGTGATTTACATTTGAAAGGCAGCAAGGTTTGTATCATAACAAGGTCATCTCTAGCCTCACTCCCATTCAAAGGCTTGGCAACCAAGCACACAACTGTAAAATGGACTATATTGAGGAATCTGAGCAACTCAATCTATTTCACAATTCACCTCAATCCATGGTTTTGCTAGTTCCACCTGTGCTGCCGGTACTGGGTTTGAGTGTGGGAGAGTGATCTCCTCTGGGTCTAAGGGTGCTGGAACACTGGGAAGTTCAGTTCGTATACTGTGATCTGGAGATCTAGTGAAAAAAAAAAACAATTGTTACAGTGAATACCTATGACAACAGTCAAAACGATCACATTTATATTACATGTCATTCTAAAAGACTTAATATTTCTTACACTCCCAAGATTATTTTATGTGTAAGTGTCAGTTCTATGCACTGTCTGCTTTACGTCCTTATCATATTGTTTCCACTTGGAGAATTTTCAGTTCAATCAAACAATATCCTCTGGTTGAAAAAAGTTTTCTTTTTCTTCGTCAACTTTTTTGTTGAAAATGTATAAGAGTATGGATATTGTTGGGAGAAATTTCTTTTTCATAAACCAATGCAGTGTATAAGGATTGATATGGGTAGAGCAGGTGTTTGGGAAGGGCACAAACAAGGAGATAGTGTAGAAATGTACTCCCACAAACAGTCATAAGCACTGTTATACAGTTTGGAAGCCAAAAGGTACAATAATGTTGTAACCAGGGGTTTAGCTGCCCCAATGGCCAGGCCACTGCTTTCTCTGACTATCTAGATCATGGATTCTCTGCTGATGTTATGGGACTTATGAAAGCATATTACAGTATGTCTGGTAATCCTGAAGTGTTATGTCTCAAAAACAAAAACGAAAAAAGAGAGAGAGTGAAAACACCAACAATACCTTTTAGGGCTACAGATATTTGAAGGTGATGACCAAATCTTGCGACACAGCGGACAGAACAAAGCTTCACGTTGTCTCTTGCATTCAGCAGCCCCTGTTAAAGTGTGTAAGGTTGCATTAATGAACTCGAATGAGCCAACTATCCCACAGTGTTGCAGATTATCCCTGGGTAGTTTAAGTAATATTCATACAACATGCTGAACCACTCTCTTTAGAATAGAGAGTTTATTTTTGGAGATTCACAGGACATGTTGAGGCTAAATTAATTAACTCTGACAGCCAAGGAGAAAGAGGCAACTTGTTGGAGAAGAAAACACCCGTGCATGAGTGATGTTTCACGAGGTTGCTACTCTCACTTTGAGATCAATAGTTTCCTCTCTATTTTGTCCACATTTTTCCATCTAAATACTGTCATTAATTAATGTCCCAGTTAACAACATTTTGGTCATTAAACCACAATGTCTACATTTCAATCAGCTGTCTTCATCTTTGCCTTCAAGTTGACACAATGTTGGAAACTTCTAAACCTATAAATCTATTTGATTTAGTTAACTGTTTGAGCCACACTTACATATTTCCATGCAATGCTGATGAAGTCTGTTATGGCAACCATCTTGACAACTTGTTAAACTTTCACCTTCCACCATTTCCAACAAACAAATGGGACACACTTCTTCATCTTCACGTACATGGGGTAACCCTCCCAGATTGTTTGTACATGGTGTCGATGGTGGTGTATTCCTCTGTCCCTTGGCTCGAGACGTTTTCTGTGCATTCATGTCTTTTTGTAAACGTGACTTCACCCTAGCATGGAACTTAGAGAGCAACTTCTCCACCTGGCAAGAGTTTGGAGTAAAAAAACTTATGTCAACCTCGCTTAGACCAACTTTAATTTCATAGAACTAGGGCTGCTAAGTGCATGTCACAAGTTCAAGAAAATCATGCTTCAATTAATTTCATTTTGGCTTAATACTAAGAAGTTCTAAAAGCAAGGTCAAACTCATCAAGACACCTCAAGCATGGAGCCTAATTTTCCCAACAAAATCAGCCTTGCATTAAGGAAAAATTGTGAGCTTTATACACTGTATATGAAGCATATGCCCTTATGTGAAGCATAATTTTTTTATTACCTTTGAGTTGTAAAAAAATTAGGGGATTCAGAAACAGTCACAACAGCTTGAAGAACGGCTTGACAGGTAAGATTTCAACCTTCAGTTTAATTTGTACAAACATGTACCTCAAAGTTCTTTAACTTTTGAGTCCATAACAGAGGATCATTTTCTTTGAGTTTGAAGACTCTAAGCATCACAAAAAGAAGATGTACACAATGTGGCCTTGTACATGTACAACTCTGAAAAATAAACAATACAGCTTTTCATTAACATCATGTAATGTAAAGATTAGAACTAAGAACAACATATAATTATTTTGTCGAAAAGAGACTTGTAACTCAGGCTGGATATTGTAGAGCTATACATTCATGTTTTCAGGTGAAACTAACCAACATGATAACAAGAAAAAGAAATTCACAGACTTTTCTTTTCAGTCTGAAAGCAAGTCCCAGGTGACTAAATTTCGCTTGGATGACTTATTAAATATAAAACTTTGTTTTTCATTGAACGTTGTTAAGAGCCATTCATTCCAGATTTTTGAGACAATAATCTTCAGAAAGCCTGTGACTTGCCTTGGGAAATGGTAATCAATTTACCCCATGCATCAACGATGCTGACAATGACTTATCCCTGCAGTATATACCATCACAGTCAGACATTGTCAAGTAACTTTTGGCATGTTCTGAGTATTCAGTCAGGTATTCAAAGTACTGTTATGAAAACAGCAGAGCAGAACACAAAGACAGGAGGGAAAAGGACTTATTGCTGGATGCTGCTTACTACCACCTTGTTCTGGTTGCAGTTATGTTGACCTTTTAGCTCCCTGGATCTGATTAATTCTTCCCTCTTTGAAATTAGCTGCTACATGTACATATTTTCATGTAAATTATTAGATCAAACCATTCAATTAAATTAAGACAGCCATTAGCTAGAGTAAATTGTTTTTTGCACTCATTTTTTGTTAGAATTATAAAACAGTGGAATGCTCTTCCTAAAGAGATGGTGCACGGACAGGTTTTTAACATTTTTCATAGTAAACTTAAAAAGTACTGTAAAATTTCGTAAAATATGCATATATACAGAGGGATTAAACTTGGTGTCCGTGAAACAGTGCTCGATACAAATAGTAGAGTGGGTATAATGTGTGGTAGGCAGAAAAAAAACAACTACATACAAATCCCTGCAGACCTGTTTCATGGTTGCCCACTCATCAGGGGATTTTAAGTATCTAAGCGACGGTACTGCATTATTCTGCCATTAAATCTCCTCCACTAAACAGGTCTGTAGGGATGTATATGTAGTTGTTTTTTTCTGCCTACCACACATTATATATATACAGATATTTCTTTAACCTAATTCTTAATGACTCTTAAATTTTACATTATAGTATATATATTTTATATTTTATGTAGGGAGTGTCCTCGATAGGGATAACCTCCGATGCTTCCTTTTATGTATGCACATAATAAATTGATTGATTGATTGATTGATTGGTGTTAGATCACAATTAAACCTACTAATAAGTTTGAGTATTCTCATTATCTGTTTGCTGGATAATGTATGGATATTGTATTGAGAAGTTGCAATTTAATCAAGTCTGGGAGTTAAAGGGTTACTCAAGAGAACACGTGGAAAATAATATAGCAAATCCAGCATACCTGTGGTCCAATCATTACACGGAATTTATGATCAGGTGAATCTCCACCAATCAAAAATGAGTTGGGTCCAGTCTGCTGCAAAAGGTAGAGTCTTGCTCTCATTGCTTTTTCAACCTTGCGCTTGACTTCGTTAGGTGCATCATAGACTGGTGATGAACTCCGCGGAAAGGAGAATGATAAAGAGTTAGAAGGGGAATTACCAGGGGTGCGTCGACGTGTTGGAGGGGATGGCACCTTCACTGGCTGTAAAGAAAAAAAAAAGAGAGATTTAATACTTCACACCAAGACATCAGTAGGCATGTTCTCGATATTGTTCTCTAAACACTTCCTATGATAATTAAAGCAGAATTTTTCTAACAATCATGAGCTTCAAGAGTATGCTATAATTTCTTTTATTGCATCACTCACAGTGCATGTGGGCAAGATGTAGCAAATCCTGTGTTCTGATTGGCTACCTGAGTGGGCAAGATGGGTCCATCTTGCCTGCTCGGGATTATCCGTGGGCAAGATTTAGCAAATCCTGTGTTCTAATTGGCTACCTGAGTGGGCAAGACGGGTCCATCTTGCCTGCTTGGGATTACCCGTATCGATCCCGTGCATGAAAAAAATTCAATCAGAACCACATTTGTAATTCTTGTACAATATCGGCCATGGAAATGCAAAAAGTGGCAGAAGATAGTCAAAACAAAGAAAACAGAGACGACTCTTGTGATTTTTTTGTGTTATAAACACAGTTGGCTTTCTTTCCCGACTCTCGAAATGAACAAGTCATTCCTAATTCTTAATAGAACGAAATCTTTTTGCAATGTAATAAATTGTTTATTAACCTAGCTTGTTTGGTCAAGATGGCTGGATGTTAGCTTTGTTCTTTTTTTGCATTTTTATGCACCTCAACTTCATCTCTGTCCATAAAAATGCAAAAAAAGAACTTAGCCAATATCCAGCCATCTCCATGCTTGGTTAACAACACCTATTTATTCTCATGTCTTTAATGTTTGATCCAGGGATGATACTCTTGGGAGAAATTAGATACTTTTCACTATTAAAGGGTTAATTTTTTAATATTTAATGCAAACAGCAAATGGTTGTCAAACTGAAATGAAGTTTACAAATGGAATTTCCCACAATTACACAATAGTCCATTTTACAGTTATGTGCTTGGTTGCCAAGCCTTTGAATGGGAGTGAGGCTAGGGGTGACCTTGTTATGATACAAACCTTGCTGTCTTTCAAATGATTTTTTTCAGGTCTGATTTTCAGAAGAAGAAGAAGCAGTTCAGAGAAGCAGTTCAGTATATTTTAAAGGGAATTTTTTTTCAGAATGCATGTATTTAAATTTATTGGTGTTCTATGTGTATGGCCTATTCTAAATTAATCTAATGAGAACTAAATTTTAGGAAGTCCTCATAACCTCCCTATTATAGCATCTCCAATATTTTAAAATTCCCATAATTTAATGCAAGGGAAGAAATACTCAATTTAGAATTACATGTATACAAGAAAACTCTTCCTTGCAGTACTGTAGCATTAAATTTTTGTCAGAGAAACAATCGTGAAAACTTTATTTTAGGTTAACAAAGCAGTTAGAGAAGCAGTTCAGTATCTTTTGAAGGGAATTTATTTTTCAGAATGCATGTATTTAAATTTATTGGTGCTCTATGTGAATGGCCTATTCTAAATTAATCTAATGACAACTAAATTTTAGGAAGTCCTCATAACCTCCCTATAATAGCATCTCCAATATTCTACAATTCCCATAATTTAACAATGGTGTAACCCATACCAGTTTTTTTTTTATTTGTTTAAATTAACCAAAAGGAAAATCAAAAGAAAAGTGTATTGTGTATAACCAATGTTATAAAATGATACTGACAACTGTTCCAAACTGAGCTACTTGGGGCCTGGCACTAGTATTGGCTGACGTCCCTGGTGAAGGAGGCCTGGCCACCTAGCAAGGGAAGAAATACTCAATTTAGAATTACATGTACACAAGAAAACTTCCTTGCAGTACTGTAGCATTAAATTTTTGTCAGAGAAACAATCGCAAAAACTTTATTTTAGGTTAACAAAGCAGTTAGAGAAGCAGTTCAGTATATTTTAAAGAGAATTTTTTTTTCAGAATGCATGTATTCAAATTTATTGGTGTTCTATGTGAATGGAGCATTGGACCAAAATGATGCTTTTTAAGTGTCTATTTGGTAACAAAGAATCTCCTACAATGACTCTCCATTCTTTCTACATCAGTAAAAACAGCAAAGATGGTCACTATCCCTACTAATACCTATATATAACTGGTCCATTAAATTCAACTTTCTAGTTAAGCTCCACACACACACACACACAAAATTAACAGTGTTTTGTAATTCAAATTAGTATAATTTCAGAGCTGAACAAAGAGTTTCCAGCAATCTGATTGGTCGAGCGGTTCCTTATATGATGCTATATAAACCACTCCGCACGGTTTATACAAAATGTTAAACTAAAATGTTTTGATTTTAGAAATTTCTCTGTTGTTCAGCTCTGAAATTATACTAAAACAATTATTCACCTCAGGTTCGGTGAATACTGTCGAATAATCCCCTCGACTTCGTCTTGGGGATTATTCTACGATATTCACCTCGCCTTCGGCGAATAATTGTTAATTGTAGACAAATTTAAACATTTGTACACTTTCACTGCTACAATAAAGATGCATTTGGCAAAGTTCATGACAAAACTTATCAAAATACAACAATAAGAATTTTTTACACCTATTCCAGGACAATTTCAAACTCTGTTCATAGCATGGTGAAATTCGTGATCAATTTATACAAAAACATCTGAGAATTGCCTCAACACTTAAACACGAAATCGATAAAAAAATAAAAAATAAATAAAAAAATCAGCTGACAAACATAGATCACATAATTGTTTAAAATACATTCTCATTAAACATTAAAAACGGTTTATTTGAATAGGATGAAAGAAAAATACACAACATTCCAATTGGAAATAAAGATCAAACACCTAAGCCTGAATTTCAAACATGTTAGATTTCATTCAGATTCTAAAGCGATATAAGGGCAATCTGACAGACAAAACGAGAACCCGGATCTTGAAAAAAATCATTTTAACTCTATGACGGCGAAAACTTAGACTTCGTACACTAGATCTCTCTCTACGGACGTCAATAACTATTCAAACGGGATCGAGCTTAATCTTCTAAATTTATTTTTGTGAAACATGTATTTCGACATTACCAAGTAAAATATACATATGACTGCCACCCTAATCGCGTATTACGTACGTGAACATATTTTTAGAACACGTCAACAAAAACATCAACAAATGGATAAACCGTCGATGGCCGGAAGGCGTGATGAAAGATAGAAACACTAGCATTGATGTACAGTAAACTGTACATTTTGACAGCGAAATATTGTGAAATAAAGATACGATCTAAGTTGAATTGATGAAAACTCTGATCAAATGAGCCAATATACTGAGTCCTACTCTGCATGAATGACACCTGACAGTTTAGTAGAGACTTGCAACTTGAGCTTACCATGGGTTGTGTTTTCCTCTTCAAACTCAAGTCTTTATCTTTCTTCCACGTCGTAAAATTCTTCAGCCTTTCTCTGAGTAGCGCTTGTTCCTCTAAAATGGGCCTGATGATAAAGATAGCAATTGATTTCAAGCTAGGACCGGTTTATCAGGAGCCAGAGAAGATCGATTAAGAATCGCGAACTCACTTTGCCGATTCTGTAATTTTTGTTGCTGTGGGCTTTTTCTCGTCTTCAGATCTTGACATCTCTTTCCCTTCCTTCCCACCTTTCTTCCATGGCGGAAGAACTCCATCCGTAGGACTCTGGGCAGCCATAAATCCCTACGAACCTCCGGTCAATATTTTTAGAACCCTCCCTCGTTGCGTGATTGTCGTTCCTTTGGAAGGAATTCGACTGTGTGGCGGGAGAACAAAGCAAAAGCACTACGTCATTTTTGACCAATCAAGAGGGAGAAATTTGAATTGTCAAGCCTTCCCGCCTACCTTCAACCAAATATGGTATGTGATTGCACAACGAAATTTTCACCTCATTTCCACGTTGTCATGGCGGTGAACACAATCTTCAAGGCAACGATGGTTTATTTCCGAATTTCGATCAGCGGCTAGTGTTTACAACAAATTTTATTGTTCTTTGTATTTTGCAGATAATATTTAAAACATCTATTCAAGTTGTAAAGGTTAGTTTCGGGCCGATTTTCCACAGTCTTGCGAAATGTACGCAGCTGCTGAAAGCTGATCCATTTTATCTGGATTTTAACGTTTGTATGCAAATTTTTAGTAACGCAAAATTTGCGTTGTTCCGTTCTGGAAACCGATGGCATCTAGATGTATTCAAACTCTAAATGATCTGGACAAGATTTCCGATAGGATCTTCTCCAAACATTCAAAGGTAAACTTACTCAGCATTTGTTTACATCGCGAAGTTACAGTAAATTTCTGCTTTCTAAATTATAACTTCCTGTTACCTTAATTGGGCTAATTATCGACTGTTGTTTACCTCGCACAGTTTGTTTATTATGTTTATTACAAACATTCAGGGGCGTTTTCGCGCTGGTATTGAAGCCAAATTGAAAGCCGCGAGAGAAAAAGCCGAACGATCGTTGCGTAACATCGACGAAGAATCTCCTTCCTGCAGTCAGAACGGGACACATAGTTGTCGATCTAGTATCAGGTAACAGATTCTTAGCTAGAATTCGCTCAGATGAAAATTTATTTACGGATTAGTTAAGTAAAGCATGGTAAATTCGAGAGTCACTATGGATTACATTGCCGATTCTTCTTATCTTGAGTTTTTTCAAAGGGAGATTGACGAAAAATGACGCGTTTGAGTTGAGAATCACAGATCTGTTGATCATTGTTTATCTTTTATGAAAGCTATTCTCCATATGGGTCGAATTCGCTCGTAAAGAATGCATTTATGTTTGGGTTGGGTCATGGTATTGCGCTCATTAGTAAGACACTTTACCTTTAAACTTCCAGAGGAGATGAACATGTAATTTCTCCTTGAAATTCTAATAAGTTATATTGTAAACAGGTTATGAGAACAGGGAATTCGAAGTTAATCAGCTAGAGTATATTATTTTGGACTAAGACTAAATTCTCCTGACTAGTTCTGCTTCTACAACTAGTTGAAAAAATGTTGAGACACCTTGAGCAAAAAGTGGATTTATTGACTCAGGTGGCAAAGAAGAAATTTGTGTGAAAAACTAGAAGTTTACCCCCTTCCCCAATTCAATGTTGTTCATTAAAGTTATTTACAAGGTACTGCTTAGCTACCAAGATTGCAAAGGGGGGGGGGAAATACATTGTGTGAGATTGCATGGTGAGCAATTTTCTATTGTCATGGTTACAAGTCTTGTAACTGGTTGTGGCTCTCACCACAAAGCAGCACAGATTGGTGACAGCAAACTGTCAGGGAAACCAGAAGAAATGCTGGGGTGGGTTGGGGGACAGATGGGGCATTACCCTTGATGGATCAACTTCTCCCTCCTCTGATTCAAAACGGCTAAACATTAACTCTAGTGCTTCTTACTGAACCATGCTACAGCAGCCAGGCTAATGGACCACTTGTATCTTGCAATTAACCTCAAACCATAACAAAGAAATCTAATGAAAATGTTGCCTGTTTTCCTGACTAGGCTTGCCTGTCGCAAATTGAGCTTAATAATTAATATTTTACGTAGCAACATTTCACCCCTTCCAGCAATATGACGAAAGTGACAAGAATTACAAATCTTTGCACCATTTTAGGCCACTAGGTTCAACTCTGTCCTCAAGAACTGTTTCAACATCTGTTTCAACTACGTCAAGATCCTTAACATCAGAACATCAAAATAAAATACAAAGAGAAAAAGTACACAAACCATCCTCTACAAAATCAGCTCCAAATGAACAAAGAGTCCGAGCGTCGAGGAGGAAAATTAAATCTTATCCAAGCAGCTCAATAGCTGATGAAACAGAAGAGGATCGAAAAGTATGTAATGACCATGCTCCCCATACTGTGTCATTTTTTGGCAAGTACAGTGGAAAAGAGTCAGAATATAAACCAACTGCTTGGTTTAACTTCCCTCAAGAAACAAGCTTTGGTGTGATTGATATTATTGTTTGTGATGAGAAGAATAAAGAGCCAGTTTGCTTCTCTGTGGATAGAAAGAAAGGAGAGAGTGTGCCTAATCCTTTGAGACATAATTTGCCAGTACGGGTGGGACAAAATGGTATGGTAAGAACTGAAAAGAAAGTGGAATTTAAACCTGAAACGGATGATGGAAATACAAAACAAGGGAAGAAACGAACAGCTCCATTGAACTGGGAGGAGCAGCTGAATTGGCATAATGTGAGTCCCATCTGTTTGTTCATTGTTAGTACATATTAGCCGGCTGTAGATAAATCTAGACAATTTGCCCTTCTGCTAGTTGGCGAGTCTTGTGAATTCTCTACTCTTGAGTAGTTACTTAACTTGAGTACAGACTTTTCCCAATCTCTATGTCAAATTACTGGATGGGCATAATTTCTTGATTGATAAACAGTTGTTCCTTTTCTAGGCGTGTGTCGTTTCATCAGCTTTACAATCAGTGAAGGATTCCTCATCAAAGGTACATGACACAATGTAAAAAAATTCTAAAAATTTTGAAAAAAATATAAAGGCATTCCTGGGTACAAAAGGAGTTGGTTAAGAAGGATAGGGTGCAACACCTATCAGCATGAATTCCCCTCTTTCAGCAAAGTCCCTTGTATGAGTCAAAAGACAAATTGATGTGAATGCACCACAGGGAGCCTCTTGGAGTGATGTCAATGCACCACAAGAGTTCTTTGAGTGTCTTACTAGTTGAGCTCCTGTGGTGCATTGAGGTCACTCCAAGACCTCCCTGTGACATGCAAACATCAATTTTTTCTTAATTTTTTTTTCTTAATTTTTTTTTCGCATTGGACTTTGTTGAAAAGGAGGGATGCTCATAGTCTAAGAATACAGTTAAGATTCTGTTTGTTAGAAGACTCATATTGAATGTGACTCTTGATGATCTAATACTTTCTGTAGTCATGATGCCTCACCTTCGGTTACAATTTAACGCCTTTTGAACATTGTTTTTCGTTTTCAGTTTCGTGCATATTTGCTTTTTTATCAGGTTCGCCAGTCATTTTTGGTTACGTCACCTTTCATATTTTCGTGTTCATTTTTTATGTATTGTTCCTATTGTTTGGTATAGCTTCTTCTACCATAGTTTTCTTGTCGCCGTTGTCATTATGTTTTAGTTGTCGTACTCGCCACATAATCTTGTAAGTTTCGTTATTTTGTCCGTCATTTTGCCTGTTTTATTTGTATTTCGTTTTGCTTTCCTGTTCTGTATATTTAACTTGTTTATGTACATTGGCTTTTAGCAAATAACTAGTAAAGGTGCAAGTTTCTTGGATTTGTGGATTTCGACTACACCTTCTACATCTGCATAAATCAAGTTAAAACTAATGCCGCTGACTAATTTTCTATTCAAGAGTTACTTGGAAGGCCCTTTGGCAGAAGACCCAATGCAGCTCTTTGAAAGCATAAAGTATCATGTTAAAATATAGAGAATTATTTTCAATTTGATAAGAGTAAAGAATAATAGACCAATTTTTTAAACTTTAAAATAAAGTAGCCCATTAGTTACATCATCACCCTGCTTTCTATAATGAAACAAATTATGTTCTTTCCTTACATTGTGATGCATCAGGTGTTTGCCAAAAGAACTCTTTCAATTGATGAAAGTACAACATTACCTTAAATCTATTTAAAGGTAAATGTTAAATTATGAAATTTATTATATAATGCACCAAATATAAAATAAAACACTGCAAGTGAACAAGTTAAATACATGATGTAATCACTAAAACATTGTAACCACACTTCTGTAATCTTTGTCAAGCATTTTTTTACCAATAGACCATTTTACAGTTGTGTGCTTAGTTGCCAAGCCTTTGATTTGGAGTGAGGCTGAAGGTGACCTTGTTGTGATAGAGACCAGTATCTAGTTAGCATCATGATAACAAAGTAACTGACCAAAAAGCAGCCACGTTTGCATCATAACAAGGTCACCCTTAGCCTCACACCTGTTCAAAGGCTTGGCAACCAAGCAAGCAAATGTAAAATGGACTATTATGAGGTCAAGGTCAACAATAACGCATTGTGTGTGCCTTACAATTTACAAAAATGTTCACATAACGGCCCACTTGTACTGCAGCACCTACATGCGTGTCACGCGCGCGTAATGCGTGTTGCTAAATACGAGACCAGGCGCGTAGCGTCCTATACGCATATACGCACGTGCTTACTTGAAGTGACCAGAAAAATTTGAAAACAATGTTGTGTTTTCGCCAAGTTTGCTCAAAATAAGGGCAAGACGCTTTGTTCTTTGCTTGTATTCACACAACTAATTCAAACAAGAAATAAAGAACGCAGTATTTTTCGCTCAGTTTACTTAGGTTTCTAGATCATATGTACTTGTGCGTACTTGAAAGAATGACCACGCTACGCGCCTGGAGACACGCAGTAGCTGAGCCATGCAACTACAAATGTACGGTCATGATCGAACTCAAAAATAAAGCATTTAAACAGTGCTACGAGAAGTTAAGCACTTAAAAGTATGGAAAGTTTAAAATGTTTGGCACAGCTGCATCTTCAGGATATCTTACCTGCAATCTTTTTTAAAGGTCAAGTACTTCGAATCCGTAGTATAGATTAGTATATTGGTATCCGGACAACTCGCCCCCTGGACAATTAGCTCCAGACGATTAGCCCCCAATCTTTGGACGATTAGCCCCCTGTCTCTGGACTATTAGCCCCCTGTCTCTGGACTATTAGCCCCCAACCCACCATACTTGAAATAAACTATGCTCTTGGTGTTTACTTTGAGAACGTTTCCCTATCATGTATTTTGAAATAAACAATGTTCATGTTATTTGCTTCTTACGAACGTTTCTCTGCCACGCGTATCGAATTATAACGTATATTTTACAAAAGTGAACTGTGCTCCTTCTGTTTACATATTTTACAAATGTTTCTTCGTCATGTTGTTTATTTCGAGAACTTAAATAGGAAAGGAAAGAAACCAAGAACGAAACTTCGAAACTTAACTTATTGGCGACTACTTGTTAATGTCAATGGGGGGCGTATTTCAAACTCGCCACGCGCATTGTGCGAACTTTTACTAATTATTATTTATTTGTTTATTGAAAATCCATGCGCAATGTGCGAACGTTTGATCATTTTTGTTTGCTTATTTCAAACCCATGCGCAGGGTGCGAAATTTTATTCCTTGTTGTTTATTTCAAACCCACGCGCAATGTGCGAACTTATGTAAATTTGACGTGAGACATTTCATTCATCCCAATTCATTGCTCATTGTTTTCTTAACTTAACGATTCCTCCAATCAAATGGCGTGTTTCGTTCGAAGTAAAAATCTTGATCCTCGGGATTTGTATAAAAGGGATCCTTCAATTGTGGATACTAGTATTAGCTTATTCAGCAACAACTGATCACAGCTGCCCCTGTACATCCTGATCCAGGTACTTACCGGGAAGCTACATTGGTCAACATGCAGATCCGTCTGGTTTTAGACAAAAAGCTGAAGAGACATCAGCGGTGAACTAAACGAACAACACAGAGAAGACTCTTCTGGATTCAATATGAAGACGACCAAAGGAATTCAAAAAAATTTCTGGAGGCCTGTGCTCACCTCGTGCAACCCATGTAAATTAAATTAAGTAAAAATTAAGTAAATTTTGATAATGATAATAACCATTTGCAAAAAAACCTCCATTAGGAGCCACAAACTCATAAAAGTCAATGACCGAAAGATGAACGTAAGTTCTCCTTTACATAAAGACTGGGGGCTAATCGTCAGGGGCTAATTGTCCAGGGGGCGAGTTGTCTGACATTCAGTATATTTTTTAGGATAAGAACGCGGAAAACAGATCATAGAATTATGAGAAGCTAAATTTGCCAAAACAAATTTAATTTTAATGCTAAAAGAGTGAATTTTACTATTCCTGGCTCCAGGAGAAATGACCAGAAGGTTAAAGTTAAAAACCTAGTCCCTTGTCGAGATAGTGGAAAGAGTCTGAGTAATAAATTGCACTTATCCTCGTAAGGTCTTCATTCACTTGATTGTTTTGTGTTTTTCATAGGGCTTGTATGAATCACATTCAGTCACTTTCCACGAGAAAAGAGCGCAGCAAAGAAATAACTCTCAACGAAAAGAGGAAAATTATCTTTCACCTGCTTACAAACTTAGTTTGGAAACACGCTGGGTATATCCCGATCGAAGGAACTTAGTTTCCGCAAAAGACAAATGCATCACTGCTGTGGAAATCGAGGATAACAGAACTGATGAATGGGTGAAAGTCAGTGAGGAAAGTACAGATCGTACGAAGCGCGATGGAAAAAATAATGCTGAAGAGTCTGCGCAACATAATGAAGAGATGGTTTCAAAAAAGGTTAGCTTCGAAGATGAAAGAGTTACGGGAAAGAAAACAACAAGAAATCCACAAGGAAATGATAGGGGAGAAAAAGTTGATAGAAAAACTAAAGATGTTGCAATTATTTCTAAAACTAACGAATCTGAAGAAGTTGGTTTAGAACATAGAGTTCGTCCAAAAACTAGTCAAGGAGGATCTAGAGGACAAGGTAGTGATGTAATGGCGGGCGATAGGAAAATGCGACGACGGCACTCTGCACCTCCTACTCCACCGTCCACTCCAAGATTTCAGGCAGAATCCAAATTTTCAAGTTGTATGCCTATAACGATCACAATCCCGACACAAGGTGATTTCACAGAAAGCAGGAGCGACTCAAACATGGAAAGCAGACTAAGCGATGAACCAGAGAAGTCTGCTTTACTCAGTGCCAGCGTTAGTCCTGGGGAAAGCGAGGAATATCTCGTCGAAAGCGAAAGTTGCACAGCAGTTTTTGTAGACATCACTCCACAGACATCTGAAAAGACCATTCCGAGGCGTGTTTCACTCAAAAACGCTCTACGGTCTGCACCAGTTTCTAGAACCACACTAAGGACTGGAAATGAAACTCTTCGCTCGAAATCGTCCACAGCTCTTCAGAGGAAGCCGCACAGGCCGCCTTCACCCGTCGTCTTTGTGTCAGAGTCTTCTTTAGAGTTGCCTAAAGATCTGCCCCCCGCCCAAGCCGTTGTGGCTCTAAGGAAAAAAATTCGCGAAGATCTTGCTCAACAAAATCGTGAATTGCAGTTGGAAATTCAACACTTGTACTTGAAAAAGCATACAAAGTAATTATTTTGTTCAATAAAGACCGTTTGTTAACTATTTAAATTCTTTTGGTGTCATTTTTGTTTTTTCGTTTTCTCCTGACTAGATAAAACTAACAAAATGAAGACTTGGGCCTACTTGCTCTGAGACAGTTATATTCGAGATCAAATACATGTATTCGTTAGTTGACCACTCCCCGTTGGGGCTTTTCAGGGCCAATTCCCACCCCAGGGGAGGACATCCACCACGCAGTTATCTCGTGCGTGGGAAATTAACGTCCCCTAACCCTGCAGGAGACGGGGCCTACGGTTTATTCGTCCTTATCCGAGAAGACTAGAATATCTATCCATTTTTTGATTATAGAAAGGTAGCAAATTCTCCTCACTTATTTTAACACCATGAGTCAGCGGTCCGGCCGGGCTCGAACCCTCGACCTCCCGCACAACCAATTGGGCTAACCAGGAGGCGGTTTTCAGGCCTTCTCATATATCGAAATTTTAATTAAATTCCCCGACTTCTTATGACATTTGCCATGATGTTCAGCGCGTGTTCTCTTCGATCGTGAAATAAATTTTCATATAACGTGAAAACGATAATTTATCATGGTATCTCGCTTAATCCAGCACTAAAATATAATTTGCCGACATTTACCCTGACTTCTTACCACATATTAGACGATTTTCCTGGCTTGAGAAATTAAATTGGAAAATTCTATGAGTGACTTGGTTTTCCATGACCGACACGAGCTCTGAGTATAGCTAGCTGATGATGAATTTCAGCATACATCTTTGTCAGATACAATGATATATATGAAGTTCATATATATTTTGAACTGCGGTATTAGTTACATCTGATGCACGATCCTCGCAGTAGATAGCGCTATTTAAGCAATAGCGAAAATCAGACCTGAAAAAAATCAGGCCTGTACGGGATTCGAACCACTGACCTCTGCGATACTAGTGCAGCGCTCTACCAATTGAGCTAACAAGCCAACTGGGAGCAGGCCGTTAAGTTGATTCGTAATAAACCCGTGAAAGTGATAAATGACATTTATCACTTTCACGGGTTTATTACGAATCAACTTAACGGCCTGCTCCCAGTTGGCTTGTTAGCTCAATTGGTAGAGCGCTGCACTAGTATCGCAGAGGTCAGTGGTTCGAATCCCGTACAGGCCTGATTTTTTTCAGGTCTGATTTTCGCTATTGCTTAAATAGCGCTATCTACTGCGAGGATCGTGCATCATATGTATCTAATACCGCAGTACAAAATATATGAACTTCATATATTTCATTGTATCTCATTTATCACTTTCACGGGTTTATTACGAATCAACTTAACGGCCTGCTCCCAGTTGGCTTGTTAGCTCAATTGGTAGAGCGCTGCACTAGTATCGCAGAGGTCAGTGGTTCGAATCCCGTACAGGCCTGATTTTTTTCAGGTCTGATTTTTGCTATTGCTTAAATAGCGCTATCTACTGCGAGGATCGTGCATCATATGTATACATTTTTGTAATAACACAAAGATTTACTTTATTCGGCCCATCGACACAGAGTGCTTTCTACATCGCTATTGTTTGTCCTCGCACTATCGAAGAGAGGTCAAGGGGCAAACAGGCGCTTTTTTTCTTCCCCAGCTCCTCTCTTCGTCACCAGAATCCAGTGCCTCACGATGCTTCTTAATGAAATAACCGGGATACGACATGCTCGCCCATTGATCAATACCTGTAGTTGAGGCTTTGGATTTGTGCGTTCTTTGAAGTATGAGGTTGGTAATGTTAGAGTTCTATTTCCATGTTCCCAGTGTCATTTGAACACTTGAGGATTAGAATTCTCATAATTTATGTGCATTTTAGTCTTGTCATGTTACCCGTAAGTAGTTTCTGCCTCAGTTTCAAGGCCTTTCTTTTTCCCACCCTCATGGTGCACTGGAGGATGCGGAAACGAGATTTTATGCCCAACTTGGTCTTTTCTTTCGTTGCAAGACCTTTTTTTATGTAAAAAGGAGCAAAATTATTCTTAAAAATGCATACAAGTCAGCCATCTGGCCTTGTAAAAGTATGTAGTACTAACAACACTCTGGTTCGTCATTTTCTGGACTAGCACTTTGCATGTTGGAAAGAGCATAGAGACAGTTGAATTTACAGGCAGGCAAGTGATATCACAAGTGCTTTCTTTCATGTTTCTTTTCCTGCCTTTAGCAGGAACTCCCCCCATTTAATAATATTTCAGACTTTGCACAGTCCCTCCTTTACAGTTAAGTCAACTGTGCAAGAGTAAAAAAATTTGGTGTCCTGAGGTTAACTCTGGTAGTGCAGTGCAAGTTTGATTTACCATCATTTTTTTACCTTGCAACAGACTTTGATAAAAAGGAGGAACTGCTCATGGTCTAATAAAGTTTTGAGAAAAAAAAAAGCCTAATACAGATGTTTGTGTCTTGAAATATGTAACCAAAGCTATTGCCAAAATTTCAAGCAGTTAGTGGTTTCTCATCTCAATCTCGCTGCCCATAAACAAGTGGAATGACAAAAACTGTGCGTAGAAAGAATGACTAGAGAGGCTAAAGCAAACATGTCCAAGACAACCATTTCATTGATGGAAGAAACTGTTTTATTACGGGTACATTTTCTTATTGGCTGGCAGCACTGGAAGCAGGGGCTGCTCCACCCCTTCCTTTCTGAGACTTGGCCTGAGTTCCCTCACGGAATCCATTTTTAAAGCGGCGATAAAGTACTTTGAGGTGGCGCATACGGCCAGTTCCGGTTGTCTTTCTTCGATTCGCTTTGATGCTCCAGTTAACTAAACAGAAAATTTTGAGATATTTAGAACTTGAAAAGCTTTTAAGGGAACAACCACAATTATTCCAAATTGAGCAATCTATCCAACAGCTTTAATCTTATAAACAGATTGGTTGTCAACAGCCTGACTTGAGCACTAATAGCAATATCATGTTTACAATAGGACAGTGCACATGTCATGCTGGGTAATTAGACAGAACACCTCATGTGTGTCCTGCTGTTACCCATTTTGCCAAGTTACCTTTTTTTTTATGACAACGTATGACCAATGACTATTTTATTTTGATTAATTGGTAACAGGACTTTGTGCTGTCCAATTCTGTCTGTACAGATATTTGTTTATATTATATAGATACTGATGAAATACCAGGATTTCTCCTTTTACTAAAAATCATATCTTCACCGCACACAGTGAAGATACTATTTTTATCTGTCATGTGTGAGGATATTGGTGTGGCCATGGTTACCAACATAATTACCCAATTGCTGTTTCAAAAATGAATAAAAAAAGTTGTCTTTTATGTGGAAATTTCATCAGTATCTATACAATATCCAGAACATTACATGGCCGCTTGGGGATATGAATTTTATCTTCTCGTGCTGAAAGTATCTCTCACTTGTTCGCTGCGCTCACTCGTGAGAGATACTTTCAGCACTCAAAGATAAAATTCGTATCCCCGCACGGCTATGTAATATCCTCTATATCCTTCATATGATAACAGATGGAATCAGACTCAGTTCTGTTACCATAACCAATTGTGTCAACAACAAATCCTCAATTATGTTCTTGTTTGGGTCTAAACTAACTGTTTCATGTCAACACTGTCCAATTTCACCTCTTCAATTACAAACACTTTGGACATGCAAAATTGGACAGTTAGGCCAGCCAATAAAAATTACGCACTTTTAGCCATTAGCCGATAAAGCTCAACTATCTAATCAATCAAAATGGAAAAACTTCTATGCAGTGAGCAAACAAAGAAACATGGATAAAATTAGCTGGTCTAATGACTCCTTTCTTCATTTTCAGCAAGAAGGGTATGTCCTCCCACATTAATTTTTTCATTCTTGAGTTTCTTGCATTTTTTCACAAGTGCAATTCATTGGTAATCAGACTTCACGTCATTAAGTTCATTTTCGTCATTTAGGTTTCCTCAATCACAACAAAGGAAAATATTACTTACACTTCCTAGTTCTCGCCGCTGGATAGCCACAAGAAGCACATCGCTTCTTCTGAATGTGGTATGCTGAACGGCCACAGCGCACACACAGAGTGTGTGTCTTGTTATGGCGCTTACCAAAACTGGATGTTCCCTTCGTCTGTAGTAAGAAATGATAACAAAATCACATGGAAACATTTGCTTTTGGAAATAAGATAATACTCAGGAAAAACTGCATTGAAATAAACGAACACGCTGAAAGATCGGCCAAAGAAATAAAAAAAAAAAGAACAATCATTAATACGAAAGACTAGACACCACGCTCATTTCGATCAAGAGAAGACAATTTAGCCTAATCACTTAAGTAATGGTGGCAGTTGCGTGTTTTTCGAGCGAAAGTTTCAAAACCTGCCGCTTATGTTCGTCCATTGACTTAAGAAAATATTCAACTAAAGAATTATTTGGCCGTTCGAACTCAACTGACAAATATGCTCTTGTACTGTATGGGACTAAGCCCGTGTCAAAAGCGCTTCATGTGTCCTAGTAGTACTATGAAAACAGATTCCCCAATATAATCCAAATTTAGGCATCGAACAACAAATTCGCACCACAGATCAACACATAAAACACTGTTTTATTCTTTTAGCGTTTAAGATTGTAAGTTCGACTGTTCTACAACGAGATGGAACCAGATTTTAATGCACGAAATACGAAAACTCACCATATTTCGATAAGGCCGTGAAAGAGAGGAATACTAAGTAGCCGGGCAATAATCATATCCCATGAGGTAGTGCGCTATTTACCAGAGCCCGCAGTATTTTGAATTGCGGACTGGACTTGCGAAAGAACTTCCCATTTTTTCTTTGCTTTAACATAAGTCACCACCGACAATTTTCACCACGTCAGTCAGCTTTATGAGCCTGGGAAAAAGGGAACAACTCAAAATGGTGGCGGGAGACGCCTTTGGATCGGTTCCACAAGTTGAACTTGTGCGAGAGCTATGAATAGAGGGAGACATATCAAAGCCACAAAAAACGAAAAAACAAAACAAAAACAAAAACAAAGAACAAAACACTGAAATCGATGTAAATATTTTCAAAATAAATGTCTGTTATTTAAAAATATTGAGAAAGTTCAACGTTGTAATTTCCGGGAGTACTCCGCTCTATACTCCAAGACAGTTTGTTGAGATACCCGATGCATAGCCTGCCCCTAAGCCTTTGAGTATTTATTTATTTATTAAAAATATTTAAAGAGTAAGCCCAGCTCGCCATAGCGGTTTTCAGTGAGGCCCT